ATCTATATATATATATATATATATATATATATATATATATATCAATTGATGTGTACATTTTCATATATATCTCAATCACCAGATATCTATCGATGTATCTATCTCAGTTTATATCTATTTATTTCATCTTATTCATATCTATCTATCTATCTATCTATCTATCTATCTATATATATATATATATATATATATATATATATATATATATATACACAAATTAGATAAAGAACTTCGTACACATTTTGCTATCAACATATATTATCTTATCAGTGTTTGGTACCAACATATATTATCTTTCAGCAATGAGGAGTACAGAAATAGGACATCACATTCTAAATATTTTTGGAAATAAAACAAAAATATAGAACTTGTAAATTTTTAAAATAGTCTTGATTCTTATGTTTGCATGAAAAATTAAAAATTGTCAAATTTACTAGCAAAAATTCCTATTAAACGAAAAGAGCGAATTAACTGTATTGCCGACACAGATTATTTTTTTACCTTAAAATATAGTTAAATTTTAAAAATTACTTATTACTTATATTCTTATAACTTTTTATTATTATTACTTATTCTTATAGCCATAATTTATTTGCATATATATATATTTAGCATTAATAATATTTTATATAGATTCTCTACATTTGAAATTTTATCTACAGGCCACTTTAGAAACTAAAATTTTTTTAAAAATTTTCCGTTGAAATTAATATTACGTCTGATTGCTCTCTTACTTCTTCTTACAATCATAAGTTACTTACCATGGCCTGAAGATGTACAATCAAATATTGAAACATGAAAGCTTTTGTATAGAGATTGCATGGTTTTATTATAATGGTTTTATATATATATATATATATATATATATATATATATATATATATATATATATATATATATAGTTGCGAATTAGTAGGGATAATGATAATGAGGATGACATTAATCCAAAAAGACCTCAATGTAAGAAACAGAGCAATATAATAATAATACACTATTTACATTACGAGGGAAAGTGGATAAATCAGGCGTGGCTGAGAACACCGCCGTCGGTGGAATCAGGTCGACATCATAGACAAAGAACACCATTGGAAAATTCGTAAACTTAAGAAATCAACACATATGCTAGGCCACGAAAAACTGAGCCGACTAAGCATAGAATATACAATATACAATATGGGAACCAGTAATAAGGAGTGACAGAGAAAAGCGATAATAACAACAAAAATTGTAATATGAGCTCTGGTAAAAACATAAAATGATAACAGCAAAAAAATAAAACTTGAGAACTGGTAAAAAATGGATACGGAGACATGAGGTTTATAATACCTCAAGGACATATGGCACAATGGATAAAGGTGTTAGTTAGATCCACGTTAATTATTTCGGCCGAAGCGTTGTAATAAATATGGCGACAAAGATGAGGACAATAGTCCGAATAATGTAAATATTGTACATAATAACTCATCTCAGAAATATAGACAGATACAGAAAGGCCGAAACGTTGTAATAAATATGGCGACAAAGATGAGGACAATAGTCCGAATAATGTAAATAGTGTACATAATACCTCATCTCAGAAATATAGACAGATACTGAAAGGCAGAAACGTTGTAATAAATATGGCGACAAAGATGAGGTCAATAGTCAGAAAATGTAAATAGTGGACATAATACCTTATCTCAGAAATATAGACAAATACTGAAAGGCCGAAACGTTGTAATAAATATGGCGACAAAGATGAGGACAATAGTCGGAATAATGTAAATAGTGTACATAATACCTCATCTCAGAAATATAGACAGATACTGAAAGGCCGAGACGTTGTAATAAATATGGCGACAAAGATGAGGACAATAGTCGGAATAATGTAAATAGTGTACATAATACCTCATCTCAGAAATATAGACAGATACTGAAAGGCCGAGACGTTGTAATAAATATGGCGACAAAGATGAGGACAATAGTCCGAATAATGTAAATAGTGTACATAATACCTCATATCAGAAATATAGACAGATACTGAAAGGCAGAAACGTTGTAATAAATATGGCGACAAAGATGAGGACAATAGTCGGAATAATGTAAATAGTGTACATAATACCTCATCTCATAAATATAGACAGATACTGAAGGGTCGGAAGAAATGTGGACATAATAAGTGCAGGCGATCCTGAAAAATCCATTCAGTTATAATTTATTTCATGAATATCCAAATATTCATTTCTTAAGACCCAAGTTTGTTTTTTTTTTTGTTTTTTTTTTACTAAATCTAATTAGTTTGTCTAGACATAGGAAAGAGTTAGAAAAAAATACAAAAAAGAAAAGCAAAAAAAATAAAATTGTATATACAGTGGAACCTCGGTTCAGAAATTTAATTCGTCCCTGAAGGCCGTTCGTAACCCGAAATATTCGTAAATCGAATGTATTTTTCCAATAGAAAAATTTGAAAAGAAAAGAACGGCACAACAAATCAATGTATAGAACACGGCGGTAGACTCAGAAATTTTTCCGTTTGGGTTAACTTTTTATAACTATATTATAACTTTTTTTTTAAGTTGATATATATATATATATATATATATATATATATATATATATATATATGTGTGTGTGTGTGTGTGTATGTGTGTCGAAATATTAACCAAGGAAGGATCCAGACAGATTTTCGACTTTACACTTAAAAATCTTTTTTTCAAATCTATTCTCACTTTGACAATTTCATGTAACGATGTCTACAATCCGGATATCAATTTAGGTCATTACGGGTGTTAATACAACAGAGACGACACACCGTTTCATTTCCCCACTTTCCTACCCTATGATAACTTAATATCTTTCTTTCTCCTACTCTCTATATGAAATCACTATTGTTAATTTTTAAACCTACAGTAATTTTTTCCATTTTCATTTGGTTTACAGGTCTGAAGATTTGAAGCCGTGCTTTATCGATTTCGATGAAATAAAGTATCAGCTATGTTTTGTTTTAAGTGTTTTTCGTTATATCATAGTTTTTGCTCTGTCATTTGACATAGAGCTCTCAACGGATCTATATCCTTTGGAAATTCCTTACAGATTACCAATAATTTTAATATATATATATATATATATATATATATATATATATATATATATATATATATATATATATATATCAAACCACTCCTCATTACCCCTCTGTTAAATTACAAAAATTTACACTACCCATCATAAGTATGAATTTTCATTTCATTTCGTTTCATCTTTTGGAAGTGCTATCTGGTGATCCAGAGTCCTTTAAAAGGGCTCTGGTGAAATAAATTATTATAATGGAACCTTAAAGTGGTCTGTTTTTCTTTAATATATATATATATATATATATATAGTACTGAGTATTAGACTAGAGCGATGATTATTATTTAGTTATAAGTAACGACATACTGATTGAAGGTTAATTCGTACTTACAGGTTAGATTACAGACTCTTCCTGAACTTTGGCGAGAATATCGGAATATATACCAGATATAGTAGTAATATTCACTGCACAGACAACTGGTAGATTTTTAGATGTGCAAGATGGATTCTGCTGAAATAGATTTTCTGGCACTCCTAGAATGTTAACAACTGCTGTTACACACGTTTCCAGCCTTGACAGCACAATCACATATACAGTTGCATTTATGAGGCATGCTTATGTAAGCCATTATGTTTAAACATTCAACCATAATTTAAAGGGTGTCCGCTACCAGAAATCACCCCTGAAAAACCTGTGATCATAGATTCCGTTCTGTAGAAAGCACCGCGACAACGGGAGAGGGTTTAGTTAATTTTGCTTTAACTGCTTTTTGAAATAAATATACAGGTGAATTCATGGATGGATACAAGAAAAAAATATTTGATAGGTTCTCCAGATTGAAAGGCGGCAGGTAGGGGCGCCCGCCATCAAGGCGTGAGATGATATCACACGCAGACTTTGATGGAAGCGGACTCCATTAAGGTAATAACATTGAAATTGGTTCCTGTTTTATGAAATCGGCATTACCCAAAGCTTAAGTGTAATAATATTAACATGAGAAGTGCGCAAGACGGAAGAAAAATGAAATAAATACGCAGGAACAGGAAAGAATACAAAGAAAATGAACGGTAAACGATTATTTGAAGAAGATGGAGAGACAGGGAGAGATAAGGAAGAATAAAGAGAGAGAAATAAGAGATGAAGGAATCTTGAAGATGGAAGAAAGATGGGGATGAAAAAAGAAGGAAAGATGATACATTGAAGGCAGAATGGATGGGAAAAGATTAGCGAGGAAGAAAGAGAAGGAAAGAGGAAGGAGAGGCAAAGAATGATGAAAGGGTTAGGAGAGCAAAGAAATAAGAAAGAGAAGAATGATTGTAGAAAGAAAACAAAGAAGAAACAAAAAAAAACATGACAGGGAAGATAAAGAAAGAATGAAGGAAAGAAATGACAAGAAAGAAAGAAAGAAAGAAAGAAAGAAAGAAAGAAAGAAAGAAAGAAAGAAAGAAAGAAAGACATGGCAAGTAAGTTATAGAATGAAATAACGAAAGAACGAACGATATGTCAATTTAGGTATAAACGAAAGAAAGAAAGAAAGAAAGAAAGCCATGGCAAGGAAGTTATGGAATGAAATAACGAAAAAACGAACGAAATGTCAACTTAGGTATAAACGAAAGAAAGAAAGAAAGAAAGAAAGAAAGAAATAAAGAAAGAAAGAAAGAAAGCCATGGCAAGTAAGTTATAGAATGAAATAACGAAAGAAAGAACGAAATGTCAATTTAGGTATAAACGAAAGAAAGAAAGAAAGAAAGAAAGAAAGAAAGAAAGAAAGAAAGCCATGGCAAGGAAGTTATAGAATGAAATAACGAAAGAAAGAACGAAATGTCAATTTAGGTATAAACGAAAGAAAGAAAGAAAGAAAGAAAGAAAGAAAAGAAAGAAAGAAAGAAAGAAAGAAAGCCATGGCAAGGAAGTTATAGAATGAAATAACGAAAGAACGAACGAAATG